TCCCAGCTTGCAAGCCCCTGCTCAGAAGGATGCTCAAGACAATGGGGCTCTGACCTTGGCCCTTACTCCACTTTGTAAACCTGCTGACAAGCCCAGCATCAGGCAGAGCTCACCTCCCTGGTGAGGAGACAAAGGCTCTGAGGGGCCTGAACACCCACACGGGTGTTTGCATTGGGGCCCACAGTGCTGAAAGGGCTGGACATTGGGGGTTCTCGGGTCTGATGCTTATCATCTCGTGTCTCCACGGGGCCAGTGGTTGATGAGAGAGGGACTTCTCTCGAGGTTCCCTTGAGAGTTGGTAAGAGGGTCTTACATATGCCCTACTCCAAAACTCTGTGGCCTCTAAGGCCAGGGCCCTCCCCTCGGAATCAGCAATCAGAAAGGTTTCCTCGTGAGAGCCACGCTGGTCAGCAGGCACGCTGGGGCCGAGGGTCTGAGGCAGAAAGAGAGGCCTTTGTTTCGGGGAGCCTGCTACCTGACACAGACAGAGGCCTAACCCTAGAGGAGCCCCCGTGTAATGAGGGGGACAGGATGTCCCCTCCGACATCACCCCTGCATTGGGTGTCCTGGGCAAAGTTACAGAAACAAGGGACAAGGGACAAGCAGGATGCTGAGGAGGCGGGGGTACCTGATGACAGAGCCGATAGGGACACAGGGGAATGGAGGTTGGCAGGAGGGCTGAGACTCGGAGTGGCCCATGTGAAGGCCCAGAGTGGAAGAAGGAGCATGGCTCAGAATTGCCATTGAGTACCAGTATATTCCCCTAGAACTGTGGTCGGCAAACTGCGACTCGTGAGCCACTTGCGACTCTTTGGCCTCTTGAGTGTGGCTCTTCCACAAAATACCACAGCCTGAGTGAGTGTATGTTGAAGAAGTGGCATTAGAAGAAGTTTAGGTTTTAAAAATGTGGCTCTCAAAAGAAATTTCAATTGTTGTACTGTTGATATTTGGCTCTGTGGACTAATGAGTTTGCAGACCACTGCCCTAGAACAAGGTCTGAATGGAGCAGTCCCCAGAAATGGGGGTGCCGGAGGGGACTGTGGGTAAAGGCTTACTAAAATATCTTAAAGGCTCTGATTGGGAGTTTTCATCTGAGAATCAACAGCGATATCCAGGAGGAAAGGAGCAAGATCAAACGGATGCTTCCCGGTGATGACGTCAGTGGCAGTTCTGTGGGAGAGGGAGTCAGGAGAGGGCCTGGCTGAAGGTAGGGAGGTCATTGCATGGGCATCGGGCTGATGAGGGGGAGAGGCTGACAGAAGAAGAGGAGTGAGCACACACCAAAGAGAAGGTGCGGGGCAGACGTAGGCAGGGAGAGGAACAAGCCAGGTCAAGCGGGGTCAGGGGTGAGAGGTGGGATAGAGAGAAGTTGGGGGAGAGAAGTTGCTCAGAATGGGGGAAGAGACTCAGGAAGAAGTTCAACAGCTGTCATTAGATCTGAGTTGAGGACAGGACATCAGCTTGGTGAAAACATTGGGGGGAAGGGGCTGTGGGTGTGGGGACCCAGGCCCTGGTGCCGGTCAACCTCTTGGAATGACAGGAACCTCATCTTAGATCAGGCGTGTTCAGGGACTACATGAAAATTCTCCCATGTTAGACTACATGAAAATGCTCCTTTCCAAACTCTAGAAGGGTGGAGGGATGGGGATCTATTGATAGGACTGCAGAAAACCCACAGTCAAGGGCTGGGGCAACAAAAAAGGACAGAGAGCCAGCAAAAAAGGACAGAGAGAAAGAGCCAGAACCCTTTTCCCCAGGCTAAGCGCCATTCCAGGCCCTTTACAAATTCTGACTCCTTCACCCCTCACCTATTATATTAGCCCATCGCAAGGATGCGGACACTTGTGTAGCTAAGTGCTGAAGCCAGGATCCAAACCCAGGAAGTCTGACCCCAAGGCTGTGCTCTTAAGCAATGCGGACTGTCTGCAGGGCACAGCCAGGACAGAGAGGGAGCCGCCCTGGGCATGGGCTGCCATCCCCTTAGCTGCATCATAAACCCCTGGGCCTATCTGGGCTTCACAGAGCGGCTCAGAAGTCCTCACCACGGGCTTTCTCGTTTGGGGTTTTTTGGTGTGTTGGTTGGTTGGTTGGTTTTGGTCCAGAAGGTGGTCTCTCTTTCTTTCCCAATCTTTAATTAGATTTCTTTCTTTGTGTGAGACGTGCTTCTTGAACTCTAACCTACGTCCAGCCTCACGCCATTCCCAGGTCTCCTGCCATTGGAAGGGGAGCAGGTGGCCTTACACACACCCCCTTCCTACGTTACTCCGTTTTGGAGGCCCGACGTGTCTCCCAGGGTCCTGCTTCTCCGACCTCTTTCTGCAAACCACACAGTCCATTCAGTTCCCACTTCTCTCCCACATTCCAGAGCCAGCCCCTCCCGCCTGCCCACCACCTCAAATTCAGCTCCACGCTAGCAGACACCCACGGGAGAGTTTTTCCCACAATCCCTTTCTCTCTGCCCTTTCAAGGTTCTGATGGGGGAGGGGATGGCGGGGGGCCACCTAGATGCACCATCTCCATGAAGAACGGTGGCAACACACATATTCAGCTCGCATGAAGGAAGATCAGCATTGAACTCGGCCTGTGGCAGAGCGAGGTGACGTGTAAACACCAGAAGCTCTGCTTCCCGGGCGCCCGCCCCAGCAACCTCCCTTCGCCGGGCGCTAAAACACTAGGATTCCAGTCCCCTCCTTCTCTCCAGCCTTCCTGCTGCCTCAACTCAACGGTGTGCCTCGTACGATCCCTTCTCTCTGCCCCTCCCAGGGCCTCACCACTGTCCTGGACAGCTTGGCCTCGCCGGACAGTAACACGGACCAGTCAGGCGAGAGGAGAATCTAGGCCAGGGAGGGGAGGGAGAGGGAGGTTTTTTCTTCCGTCCTAAATAGCTCTTGGCAGGAAAGTTGAGGTGCTCCATTGCCCGATGTCTCTGTTCCTCCCACCGATGCCTGGGGCCCAGCCTATCTTCCATCTTGTGCACATTTCGCTAGGAGACCCAGAAGGCCCTTTTCTTCGGAGAAAGAGCCCCGAACCCCTTACCCCGCCACCGCCCCCTGGGTGACCCCAGGGGACATCTGAGCCCACTCAGACCCTGCTGACCCAGCCTCTCTGGTCCCTGGGGGAAAGGCCCCTGGGTCTTCTGCCAGACGCTTCCCTCATAGCCCAATCCAACGAAGCTAGCTCTATAAACGCGCTCAGAGGGGCATGGATGGCATGGATGGCATTCAACAGGTCACAGGGTGGAGAAGGGGATGCCAGAGGGCAGACAACGATCCTCCCACACAAACATATGTGTCCATGGACTGGACGCGGGGGTGATGCGGGAGACAAAGCTTTTCCTCGGGGCAGGGGTCAGCAGTGGGACTCGGCGTTAGAACCACAGGAGGAGTGGAACCATCGTCCAGCCTCCCCCCTCCACGCAGTGGAGTCATTGCCATTTGATATCCACTGAGACAAGTTGGCTGCTGGGCTCCGGGTGGGGGCTGGGGATGGCTCAGAAAACAGCAGCTCCTTTCAGGACCCAGGTTGGCAAGGGCTTTGGGAGGCTGGACTGGCCCAGATCACCCCCCCAACACCCCCTCTCTCCCTCCCTCGCCACCACCACCAAAGGGCTGAGGGGGTGGGGGGTTGGCACTGCCTAGGCCATGCCTACTGCCTCGGAAGACCAGCCCCGGCCCTTCTGCCTGGGGTAGTGCCTTCCCTCCCTCTCCTTCCTCATTTCCTCCTCCCAGGAAAACCAGCTCTGAGCCAGGACACCTGCTTCCCTCTGCACTTGGTCCCCCGTACCCGGCCTATTCCCTTAGGAATGGAGAAGCCTGCCCCTCAGCACAGGATGGCGCCCTCCATCCTGCCAGGAACGTGTTCAGAAATCCTTGGAGATTGGAAAAGGGTTTGGGGATGAAACTAAATGAAACTCAGCCCTGGCTGCAGGCCCCTCGGCAGGCTGGTCTGGACACCCGCTCCAGCCCTCCTCAGCACCCTCAGCAAGCAGCTGTCCTCACAGAAGCGCCCGCATCTCCCATCACCATCTCCCTCATCCAGAACAGCCTAAAAGCGTCCCTGGTGTGTGTGTGGGGGGGAGGGTAGGAGGGGAGACTCAAACCCCACAACTAAGGCAGGCCGGCCAAAAAGCTTCAGCCACAATTTGCATTGGTCTGCCCTAAGCTTTGACCTTCTTCCGCGCCCCCAGCTCCCCATCTCCCTCACTCCACCTGGGCGCTTCATTGCCAAGAATGAAACCTCACCATCAGAGCGGCCCCGCTTCCCGTTTTGTCCTTCTGTCCATCCCAGGCCTTGGCTCTCCTCCCCCGGACCAGGAAGTTCCCTCACTTCTTTCCCAGCACCGGTGCCCTTGGTGAGTGCCGGCGGAGAAGGGATGGATGGGCGTCTCCATCTGAAGGTGAACCAGAGCCCTGCCTGCCCTTCCCCCTCCTTTCGGCTTCCCTCCTGGGGTCTCCGTGGGAAGCGCTGGGGGAGAGGAGCAGCAAAGGAGGTTGTGTCTGAAGTGGACTGCAAGTCAGAATGGACGGGTGGGGTAGGGGCCCCAGGCAGACCCGGTTCCTGAGGTCCCCCCACCTAAGCCTTATGTGTCTTTCTTCCCATCCTGCTAAGTGGGTGTCACTGTGTGGGAAGCGGGTAGGGGGCAGGGGCAGGGCTGGGCACGGGAGTGGGAGTAACCTGAGGATCCTGGGAAGAGGGGGCGCTGTCTGGAGGGCCCGGGTGGAGGTGCATGGCTATACTTGTTAGAGGAGCTGTGATGTAACTGCAGGTCTGCCCAATGGGAAGGGGCACCAGGAAAGCCCCTTCCTTAGCCTGAAGGGCTGAGGTGACCACCTTAGCTTATCTTCCAGGGGGGTCCCCTATATGGCCGCCTAAAAAGGGGGGGGGGGCTGAGGAGCAGGGCCATACCATGGAGACCAGCCAGGGTCTTGCCCCCTCCGCCCCCCACATCTATGGAGAGGGAGGTGGGCAGCATCCCTCCCTCCTCAGGGCCAGCGGCTTACCTTGGGTCCGTGCTGAGTGATCCTTCAGATGCGCAGCAGGACGGACGGACAGACGGACAGACGGGGCGGGCGGGCGGGAGTGAGGACGGAGCCGCGCGACGGCAGGGCCGGACTCTTAACCGGAGCCCGGATCAGATAAGGGCTGGTCTGGGGGCCGGGGCCGGGGTCGGGCCGCTGGGGGCAGAGCTGGGCCGGTCCGGGCCGCCCCCTCCCTCCGCAGCTCGGGAGCCAAACTTGGTGTGAATGGAGGGCCCGGAGCGGGACCGGGTGGGCCGGGCGGGAGGGGGCTGCAGCCGGGCCAATGGGAGCGTGGAGCGCCAGGCCCGCGCCGCCGGGATTGGAGGAGCGCGGGGAGGGGCGGGGCGGAGGGAGCCAGAGCCCAGACGCCGGAGCGGAGCGCAGCACCCAAAGCCGGAGAGCCAGACAGGCCCGGGGGAAGGGGAGACGGAGACGATCCGCCCGGTGATAGAGGCGGCGCTGGCAAGGTGACAGCGAGAGGGAAGGAAGGAGGCGGTGGTGTCCGAGCGGGGACCGGAGCGCCAGCCGGCGGGGCGAGCCGGGCCGGGTTGTTGAGCTGGAAATGAATTCAGGGCTGCCCGGAGGGGCGGACGGGGGCTGTGCGCCGGGGATCCCGGGTTACCGGGATTTCTGCTCAGGGTCCAGGCCGCTCGTTGCCTCTGAGCACCGGGTGTGGTCCTGGATGCCGATGCACAGAACACCTCCCACCTGCAGCAGCTGGGGCAGGGCAGAGAGATGAGGCGCTGGAGGCGGCAGACAGGGAGAGAGATCACTCCACTTAGGGGTCCCAACAGACCTAAGAGGACCCGGTGACAACTAAAGAACGCGGAAGACTAGGAGGTGATGGCGTTTAGAGCGGAGGGAACTGCATTCACAAAACCCTGGGGGGACAGCGGAATGCAAGTCTGCTTGGGATAATGCAGCAACCGGCCAGCCCGTTGGACTAGACAGAGTGGTGGTGCTCAACCTTTTCATCTCCAACTTCTTTCTTCACCTGGATTCATGGCTTTTTCCTGTGTGGGTTTTGCTTTGTTTTCTTTTCTTTTTTTTTTTTTTGTTTGTTTGTTTTTATGGAGTTTATTGAGGTGACATTGCTTAATAAAATTATGTAGGTTTCAAGTGTACCATTCTATACCACATCCTCTGTATAATAATTGTATTCTATGTTCACCACCCAAAGTCAAGTCTCCTTCCATCACCACGTACCCCTCCTTTACCCACTTCTACCTGCCCCTCCCTCCTCTCCTTCTGGTCATCCCTGTATTGTTTAGTGTCTGTGTCTGCGAGTTTTTGTGTTTTTTTTTCTTCACCTTGCCACCCCTGGATTCATGTTTTGAGAGGTTTTTATTTACAATGCCCCAAAATAATTATCTCCCCATTTTCATTCATCATAGATATTTAACTACTAATCAGTAACCGATATTACCATATTGAGTTGATACACATATTGGAAAAAAACAACAACAAAGAAACTTCACATTTTAGCTCAGTTCAGCCTCTAAAAGCCATGTGATAAGTAAATGTACATTTCAAATAGCCCCTAAGGAAGGGAAGAAGCTATGGGCTACAGGTATGGGCCCAGGCGAGTGTATGGGGGAAGACCTGCAGTGAATACAGAGTGGTGACAGTTCATGGTCAGCTCTAAGCTCCTGAAGGCGGTGGAGAGCAATGGCAGGTTCTTGGGGATGGGAGGGAGAGACAAAGCCATGGCAGAATTACAGAAAGATTAATCAGGAAATGAGCAAGATGGTTTGATCAAGGGGAAATGTGGCAGTAATCCTCGCTCCTTCAACCTTCCTCACCTCATCTCCCTTATCTAATCATTGCATCTACTTTCTAAATCACCTAAATCCTGCTCCCTTCTCTCTATCTCATCATCGTGACTATGGTCCAGAACACCATCACTTCTCACCAAGATTACTATCAGGGTCTGGAAGGTCACTAGCAACCCAGGAACCTAACCCCACCCTTCACCCTTCATACGGGTCTCAAAGGAAGAGGCAACCTGTATTCATCATGTCAGCCCCTATACCTTTGTATCAAAACCCTAAATGCCCCTTGCTTACTGGTCACGGTTCAAAGTCCTTAGCTCAAGACTTAGGGTTCTCCTCGGAGAGGGGAGAGAATATGGAGCTGAAAGAGGTGGCTTATAGTGAAGTAGAATTCTCTGGGGAATTTCATTTCAAATGGTTTTTTAGTTTTTCTGTAGAGCAGAGCTGTCATTTATTAAAACTCAAGGTGGGGATGGACTGGGCAATTAGAAAGAGTTTAGATGTTCTAGAACAGCAGGGGTGTACAGTTGTGAAAAGTTCGCAGATAGATTGGATGGCACTGAAATGCTCTCATGTAAAAAGAGTGATTAAGCCTGGCCAGCATGGCTCAGTGGTGGAGTGTTGGCCTGTGAACCAGGAGCTCACGATTTGGTTCCCTATCAGGGCATATGCCCTGGTTGCAGCCTCAATCCCCAGTGTGGGGTGTGCAGGAGGCAGCTGGTCAATGATTCTCTCTCCTTTTCCCTTCCTCTCTGAAATCAATAAGAAGATATCTGTTTAAAAAGATTGATTTGAGTTTTTGTTCTTAAATTATGTTTTATAACAAATATACATAGATCTGTCATGTATATTCCTTTGTGCATATCAAATGTCAGTTCTTAATGTTTAGGTCTTTCTACAAAAGAGAAGTCCTAGTGTAGTCACCAGGATCTCAATAGGGAATCAATGATAAAGGCTTTGGGAAATTAGTATTTGTAAATGTTTACTGTGCAACTTGAATATATTACTTGAGATGGGAAAACTGAAGTTCAGAGAGGGTAAGTGGCTTGTCTATGGCAACATAGTTGGAAAGTGTTAGATTTGGAACTTGAATCCACGTGTGTGTGTCTCAGTAAATACTGAGTGAATCTGCATGCCCTAAACATACTCTTCATTGTAAGCGTGAGTACGTGTTGGTATGAAAAATTTGCCAGGGTTTGTGATGTCCAGCGTCCTCCATACAAAATGGCCGTTAGGAGAACCGTCTTTCTTTAAGAACCTCCCTCCTCTTCTCCCAGTTTAGCAAGCTGTGTCTTTCTTATTCTTGATTGCCCCTATCAGACTCACTCCTCCCAATGTTAGCCTCACCTCTCCTTGTGCCTTCTCCATGATGAGACAGGGTTCCCTCTGAGCCTAGGAGTGAGCAATCTGTTCTGGAAGGAGAAGCTATGAGTGGGCAGCAGGATGAGGGGCTTCTGCTGGGAAGAGCAGGTGTGGGCAGAAGGCAGGGTGGGAGCTTTGGGTCAGGAGGTATGAAGAGGCTCAGAATAGGCAACACTTCACAGTCAGAGGAGTGCAAGCATGTCAAACTCGTGGCCCGTGGGCCACATGCCTCATTTGTTTGGCCTGTGTTAGCCTTTGAGTTTGACATGCTAGAGACACTGACAATGCTCACTCCAGAATCCCAAAAGACCCACAAGGCTGAACAATTCCCGTGAACAGTGGACACCTCAGAATCGGACAATTCAAAAGAAATCCCAGTGTGGCTGAGCTACATGCCCACAGTCACTAAAGATCATTATTTCCGCATACCACCTCCTTTCAGTAAATGCCATCTAAACACACTTACATTGATATAAATATAATTTATAATTTATAAATATAATTTATATATATATTATATATATAAATATAAAATATATAATTTATAAATATAATTTATAAGATATAAATTAGGGCATACTTAATTACATTACTAAAGGATTCCTTCAGAATTTCTTCAGCTAAGTGGTTCCTCTAGTACCTTTTCAATTGAGTTCAATAGATAAAATGTCATTAACGCACAAAGCACTAGGTAGGAGGAAGGCAACAGGAAATAAATGAAGGGCCAGGACCTGGAAGGCCTGAGTCCGAGTCCTGTCTGTTCTCTTAGAGCCCATCCCTTGCCTAGAAAGTGCTTGGGATCCATCCCTTACCTGTAAAGTGAGGCCTAATTCTGGACCACCTCCAATGCCGTGACTTTTTAAAAATATATATTTTATTGGTTTCAGAGAGGAAGGAAGGGGGAGAGAGAGATAGAAATATTAATGATGAGAGAGAATCATTGATTGGCTGCCTCCTGTATGCCCCACACTGGGGATCCAGCCCTGGGCAAGTGCCCTGACCTGGAATCAAACCGTCACCTTCTGGTTCATAGGTTGATGCTAAAAACCACTGAGCCACGCCTTCTGGGCTACATATATATATATATATATATATATATATATACACACACACACACATATACACACACACACACACACACACACACACACATATATATATACACACACACACACACACATACACACACACATACATACATACACACACACACAGTGTGTGTGTGTGTGTGTGTGTGTATATATATATATATATATATATATATATATATATATATATATACCTGAGGACATGCTTAGAGAGAGGAAGGGGGAAAAAGAGAGTGAAATATTGATGTGAAAGATGCCCCAACACCCCCTGCCCCCCAACTCAGATATGTGCCCTGACCAGGAACTGAGCCAGCAACCTTTTGGTGCACAGGATGACACTCAACCAACTGAGCCACTCTGGCCAGGCACCAACGCCGTGACTTTCACATTTTGGTCCACCTCCACCCAATTCTATAAAGCAAGATAGGCTTGTGTACGAGAAGTCTTCTCACCCTCTAGCTCTGCTGAAAACAGCCCAGAGGCCAGCAAGCCCCTCGGCCTCAGGAGCCTCACAGGCACCCTCTGTCCTGGTGTATCCTGTGCTTCTTCCATTTCACTCTAATCTCCAGCCACATTCAGGGCTTCAGCCACATCCTCCTTCTGTTCAGAGTTCTCTAAGGTCCCATCTCCTTTGAATTTATAGAAATTGTTGCAGCCCAGCTGGCATGGCTCAGTGATTAAGCGTTGACCTATGAACCAGGAGACCACAATTTGATTCCAAGTCAGGGCACAGGCCCGGGTTGTGGTCTCAATCCCCAGTGTGGGGCATTCAGGAGGCAGCCAACCAATGATTCTCTCTCATCATTGATGTTTTTATCTCTCTCTCCTTTCCTCTCTGAAACCAACAGAAGTATGTTTAAAAAAGGAATTGTTATAACCTACCATGCCAGCCTCCTTGCTCTGTGAATCTCACATCCTCAACCGTCTCCTGTTCCCCCATCAGGCTTCCTCCCCTACCTTTGAGCTTTTACCCAAGAAGTCTCACGCTCTCACTCAAGGAAGCTTCCCAGATTGGTTGATCCAAGGCTGCCACACACAGCTGTACAGTGTGTGGGCTGCACAAAGGTACCCCCTAAGGTAAGTTGAGAACTGAGCTGCATTTTGCTTACCAGTTCTTTCTCTTTTTTTGATTAAGGTATTACATATGTGTCCTTATCCCCCCATAGCTCCCCCGCCTCACCCCCCACTCATGCCCTCACACCCGCCCCCCCTCTGGTGTCTGTGTCCATTGGTTAGGCTTATATGCATGCATACAAGTCCTTTGGTTGATCTCTCCTCTGCTTGCCAGTTCTCGCACCGTGGTTCAGAGCTGTGTCTCCTGGAGGGATTCCCATTATTTATTATTTTTATTTTTATTATTACCCAAAAGTACCACCTGCTCTCCAAGCTCCATGCCATGCATGAGGAAAGCATCTGCTGAGAGGTGTTTGTACCAAGGTTCTTCACACGCCAGCAATGTGGGCCCAGCTGTGGCCCTCCTGCCCTCAGTATTCTCCAGTTCCAACCCCAGCTCTACTGACCTATTTTATTTTATTGATTCCTTGTTAAGTTGCTTTCTGTACCTCATAATATCTGAAAGCTGAGGTCTCACCCATTTTTCTGAGTCCTGGGGTACCTGAGAAAGCTATTTTCCTCTCCCTGGGGTCAAGCTCGGTGGTGAACAGGAATTGAGGTTAGATGCCAGGTAAAGTCCAGGACCTACAGGGTCAGTAAGTCAGGGAGTGGGTAATAGCCCCTTCCGTGTCCACAGGCAGCCCGGGCTGAGGCAGGGACTGGCTGGTCCTCCTTCTGGAAGGCCCTGCCAGCCCTGTGATGTCCCCCTCCAGGAAATGGGGCCAGTTCTATGCAAATGCGTTCTTGCCTAGGAGTTTGGTTTCTTCTCTCCCAGCTGCTGGCACAGTGGCACCAACATGAGCGGCCGCTTGGCAGGACAGACAGGAGCAGGCTAGCAGTCCCGAGGCTCAGGTGACAGGGCCAGGCCCAGGAGACGGGGATGTTGACTGGGGCTTTAACAGCCCTCCTGATGCCAATCTCAGCCGAAAACTCGATATTTCCACTTGGAACCAGAAACACCAGCAGAGGACTGGGGAGAGGAGGGCCATGTACCAGGAGTGCCCCCTGCAGGTCTCACTGGGTAGCACCACAACAGAGGAAGGCAGCACAGGATGGGTGGGACTCTCGGGAGATGCCTGGGATGGGGAGGATCAGGACCAGGAGGAGGAGGAATAGGTAACGGGAATTTACTGAGTATTTACAATGTGCCTCACATAATCCTCATGTCAACCCCAAGGGATGGATAGCATTGTTATTTTCATATCTTAGGTGAAGAAACTGTTTAGAGAGGTGAAGTAACTTGCTCAAAGTCACCCAGTTGGTAGTGGACAGCTTTGGGATTTGAACCCAGTCACTGCCTCCAGAGAGGGTATTATTTAGTACCATCTTTCCCATCTTGCCGGTTCATTCCAGGAACTTTTAGTCCTCTGATGTCCATTTCTATCTCTTCCTGCTCTTCTTGTTGAAATCTGGAGAATAGGCTGGCTGGCGTGGCTCAGTGGTTGAGCATTGACCTATGAACCAGGAGGTCATGGTTCAATTCCTGGTCAAGGCAAACTCCCAGGTTATGGACTTGATCCCCTATAGGGGGCATGCAGGAGGCAGCCAATCAATGATTCTCTCTCATCATTGATGTTTCTATCCCTCTCTCCCTGTCCCTTCCTCTCTGAAATCAATTTTTAAAAATATGTTTAAAAAAAGAAATCTGGAGAACAGATAAATAATAATACCAATAATAACAACACCCAGTGTTCGTATACCACTCTCTGCTTTTAATTATTTCCCTGGGGAAAATGAACACTGAGGTATTTCTACTTCTCCAAAAATTTTTCTTGTTTTAATCAGTATTCCTACAGTTATTTCTGTACAGTTATGATCAACTTATAAGAATTTTTTAATGTAAGAGTGTGCTTACTTGCACATTTACATATATAAACATAGTAACCAATTATATTGATATGCCACCGATATTACATTATCGAAGCAGTGTAGCTTTGTGAGAATAGCCTGGGAGGGAGTGGCACAGGTGTGTGAGCTTGACAATCATCTCTGCCCTTATCCAAACTCTGTGACATGTGGTAAATCACTCACCCTTTCTCAGTTTTACTTTTCTCATTTATAAATGGAGCAAATAATACTTACCTCATTGGGTATCTCAGAGGGTTCTTAAGTGAGGTATGGATCTACTTCATAGCTGACGTTCAACAAATGGTAGCAGTAGTGTTAGTATTATGCGTGGAGGTGTCTGTTTCCCTCTTGGACCAGGGGCTGTCCTAGGGAGAGACATGAATTTCTGTCACCAACCCCACCTAGCACACTTCTCGGCACTTGGGCTTCTAAACGTTTGCTGAATGACTAGTTAGTAAGCCCTAACCTCGCCTTTTCTCTCGGTTGGACATCTGAATTGTTTCTAGACTTTCTAACAGAATTAACTTCAAGGCCTGTGTCTCTATTACCTCATTGAGTTTGCACACCTGGGAAGCAGGCGGAAAGGCCCACACCTGTGAGAGATGGAACACCTGTGGCCCGGGGAGGGGAAGGGAAGGGAAAGGACGCCTATGGGCCACATCACAAATTAGCAACCAAGGTTAGAACCCCTGGCCCAGCCCCCCTTCCTTGGCTGGATCTCTCTGGATCGCGGTGGCCTCTCCAGAAATAGACTATGATGCCGGGCCTGCGCTGAGAGAAGCGCTGAGCTGCCGGCTCCCATCCAGCCTTGTGCGTCCCCAGGAGACCAAACACCTCACTCCCCACCGCGCCAGGGCCTGTGTTTGCCCAGAGCGAGGATCTTCCCGGGAAAGAGCAGGCGCGCCAGCTTTCCCCCTTCTCTTTCTTTCTCTTTCCTGAGGGGGCGAGAAGGCAAGCTCTGAGCTGTCCAAGAGGAGGGACTTGGGCTAAAAATAACGATGGCGTGTGCCTCAGCCGCTAGTGGTACCCAGGACTGGGGAGGGGAGGGGGATGCTCTGGAGCTGTCGCCAGACTGGTTGCTGTGGAAACGGGAGAGGAGCAGGGGAGCCTGGGAAGTGGGTATGACACAGATAGCAAGTCCTAGGCAGAGCGGCCGCTACATTGAGGAGAAACAGCGGTGTCCTCGCCGGCCCTCACCCTCCGAGGGGACGGGTGTGGGGCCGCGTCGGGGGCATGGACGCTTCCCTCTGGGGTTCTTTGCTGCCCGCTGCTCTCCTCTCCACTGACTGTGAGTTGAGTTGCGGGGGGGGGAGGGGCTTGGGCCCCTATTTCCGTGACAAGTGGGGGTTTGGGAAGAGCAGTTCCTGAGGGAGTTTTTTCAGCAGATCTCCTTCCAAAAAATAAGCCTCCTTGCTGGCGAGCACTTTCCGAGGGTTGGGGGCGGGGTGGGGGGGGGGGGAGTAGAAAGCGAGATTCAGGAAGATGTGGAAAGGGGTCAGGGTATGCACGAACACTGAAAGGGAGCAGGCTGGAGGAACAAGACGCTTTGGAGGGAAGGTGGAGAAGCCAAGTCTTCCATCCTGGGATAAATTATTGCCTGTGGGTCTAAGTCTCCACCGTTTCTTCCCCACCGAGAGGCACGCAGCCCACTCAGGAAGGCAGGACGGGAGAGGGACACCGTCAGAGTAAGGCTCCCCTAGGTCCCCGGGCACAGGAGAGCAGAGTTCTGGGGTGATCGCCCTGGGGTTCCTTCCCCTCCCCTGGGCGGAGAGGTTGGTCCCAGTGGCCAGCGGGGGTCCGATTACCGGAGAGGACACCTGAAGCCCCCCTGAAGCCGGAATGAGCGGGACTCCGTACTTGTCTGTCTGAGCTGGGGGCTGTGAGCCGCTGGGGCTTCCTGGGCTGGGGGAGGGAAGGGGGAGCCCATTGTTGGGGGAGGGGGAGACTCTGATCTGCCATTGCACTGGGGCCCCGAGACCCCAGTCCCCTGACTCCTCCTGGAAAATGAAACTGGGGGTGCCCTATGCTCAGGACACCTTGTGTTGGTTTCTCCTCCTGTCCCAACACACACCACACAATACACACATGCACACACCACACACGTGCACACATATGTACACACACATGCACATGCACGCGCGCACACACACACACACACACACACACACGGCCTTCAGAGGTCTAGCTGCAGAGTACCACACTCCAGTCCTTAAATTCTGGAGCTGGGTTACGTATCCAGGCGGTTTCTCCTCGGGACCTGGTCAAGCATACAGGCCACCTGTGCCTCCCCTCTGAACCCCACCCCGGGCAGCTCGGGTTTCCCTGAAGTGTGGGCACAGGATGATCCCAGGAAGCAAGGCCGATTGAAAAGTCTCCACCCTCATTCTGAGCCTGTCCTCCTATGGTTCTCATCTCCCCGGGCCCCGGGTGCCTGGGGGAGAGTCCCAACCTCTCTCTTAGGGCAGACTGAGCTCAGGGAGCTCCTTTCAGAGCAAGAATTTGAGTCAAAGTCAGGTGGAATGCAAGCTTTGGAGCTGGGGTGGGGGGAGGAAACGGGGGTGTTGTTAGGACAGTCAGTGGGAGGTAGGTGCTGTGGGAAAGAACTGGAGGGAAGGGGATGGGGGGAAATGTGGGTGCTTAGTGTTCCCCGGCCCCGATTGGTTACATCTCATGCAGAACAGGAGAGCAGAGGGATGCAAGCCTGACTCCCGGTGAGGTTGGTGCTCCCTGTGCCCCAGCATGTGTGAGGACAGCGTGTCCTTGGGTCCTTGGCCCATATCCGGGGTGTCCCCACTGTGGAAAGAACCCGCGGAAAACGGGCTTATTCCACAGCAGCAATGGGCGTGGTCAGTGTCAGGGAGGTTTCCAGGGGGATTTCCTGTGTGGGGATTTCCAGCCCCTGCCCACGGGGATGTCTCCTGCTCTCTGCCAGCCCCATTCTCCCGTCAGCTTGCTGAGAGGGTCCGATGTGGGTGGGATGGAGAGTGTGAGGGAGGCCCAGGGAGGAAGGAACTGGCAAGTCTTTCTGTGTCGTCTTGAGGGGAACCTCAGAGGAGCCTGGGTATGGTCAGACCGCCAGGTTAATTGTGGAGGCAGAGATTTGGGCACTGGCCTGACAGAAGCTAGGGAGGGGGTGCAGCAGAGCAGCGAGTTTCTTTCTTTTTTTTTTCAAAAAAATATTTTAAAATATATTTTATTGATTTTTTAGAGAGGAAGGGAGAGGGATAGAGAGTTAGAAACATTGATGAGAGAGAAACATCAATCAGCTGCCTCCTGCACACCTCCTACTGGGGATGTGCCCGCAACCAATGTACATGCCCTTGACTGAAATCAAACCCGGTACATTTCAGTCCAAAGACCGACGTTCTATCCACTGAGCCAAACCGGTTTTGGCCAGAGCAGCGATTTTCAACCCAGATGCCAGGGCATGCCGAATTCTTTTTTTTCTTTTCTTTTTTTAATATATTTTATTGATTTTTTTACAGAGAGGAAGGGAAAGAGATAGGTAGAAACATCGATGAGAGAGAAACATCGATCAGTTGCCTCTTGCACACCCCCCACCAGGGATGTGCCCGCAACCAAGGTACATGACCTTGACCAGAATCGAACCCTGGACCTTTCAGTCCTCAGGCCGAGGCTCTATCCACTGAGCCAAACCTGTTTCAGTGATGCCGAATTCTTAAAACGAAACCTTCAACTATTTACTCAGGAGCACTGACCGCTTTTCCCTTAGATTGTCCAATTAAAAAATGACAACAGCCAACCCAACAACAGCCATGCAGTGTGAATGAATCAAAACTATACTTAATTTTCTATCAGAAAAAAATCCTAGTGTGCTGCAGAATTTTAGCAATCGGCTTCTGTGGGTCCTGGGATGAGAAGGGTTAAAAACTGCTCCTGAAGAGGAAGGTTAATCCCTGCCCCAAGGCGGCCACGGTCTAACATATCAGGCCTCTGCTCCCCCTCCTGGCCTTTCACCCCGCGATGCCCCGAGTGCTGCACACCCTGGTCAGAGGTGGAGGGCCGAGATCTCCGCACCGCCTTCCCCTGAAAATAATCCTCACACTGGGATAGTGCCTCATGATTCTGTGAGCTGGGGGAGCAGTGGAGGATTGTATGGATTGTCCCCATTCTACTGATGTGGAGACTGAGGCCAAGAAGCACGAAGGGCCAGGCCAGCCGTGGCTCAGTGGTTGAGTATCAACCTATGAATCAGAAGGTCATGGTCCCTTCCTACCCCCACCCTCCACCAGGGCACATGCCTGGGTTTCCGGCTCCATCTCCAATACAAGGTGTGCAGGAGGCAGCTGATCAACAGTTCTCTCTCATCATTGATGTTTCTCTCTCTCTCTCCCTCTCCCTTCATCTCTGAAGTCAATAAAAACATATTTTGGAAGGGAGGGAGGGAGGGAGGGAGGGAGGGAGGGAGGGAGGGAGGGAGGGAGGGAGGGAGGGAGGAGGGAAATGAGGGAAGGAGGAAATGAGGGAAGGAGGAAGAAGAGAGAGGAAGGGAGGGAGGGAGGGAGGGAGGGAGGGAGGGAGGGAGGGAAATGAGGGAAGGAAGGGAAATGAGGGAAGAGAGAGGAAGGGAGGAAGGAAGGAAGGAAGGGAGTAGGGAGGGAGGGAGGAGGGAGGGAAGAGAGAAGAAGGAAAGGAAGGAGAAAGGGAGGAGGGAGGAAAGGGAGGGAGAAGGGAGGGAGGAAGGAAGGGAGGGAGGAAGGGAGGGAGGTCGACATGTATTGCGTGATTTGTCTTACCGCATCCCGCCTTGCTCAGGACACCCAGCCCGGTTGTCGCTGCCCCTCCGTGGCCCGGTTAATTCGGCTAATTCGGTCCATCTTTAGTGCCCGCAGGAGCAGCGACGCTCTCGAGAGGCGGCGGCGGCCCGGGGCGGTGCGGCCCCCCGCGCGCGCTGGGGCGCTGACCCCGGGCCGGACCCCGCACCCCCCGGGGCCATGGCGCAGGACAACGCCGCCTTCTCGCCGGGCCCCGCGGAGCCGGCCCGCCGGCGCGGCCGCCAGCGCTACGTGGAGAAGGACGGCCGCTGCAACGTGCAGCAGGGCCACGTGGGCGAGACGTACCGCTACCTGACGGACCTGTTCACCACGCTGGTGGACCTGCGCTGGCGCCTCAGCCTGCTCTTCTTCGTGCTGGCCTACGCGCTCACCTGGCTCTTCTTCGGCGCCATCTGGTGGCTCATCGCCTACGGCCGCGGCGACCTGGAGCACCTGGGCGACGCCGCCTGGACGCCCTGCGTGCACAACCTCAACGGCTTCGTGGCCGCCTTCCTCTTCTCCATCGAGACGGAGACCACCATCGGCTACGGCCACCGCGTCATCACCGACCAGTGCCCCGAGGGCATCGTGCTGCTGCTGCTGCAGGCCATCCTGGGCTCCATGGTGAACGCCTTCATGGTGGGCTGCATGTTCGTCAAGATCTCGCAGCCCAACAAGCGCGCCGCCACGCTCGTCTTCTCCTCGCACGCCGTGGTGGCCCTGCGCGACGGCCGCCTCTGCCTCATGTTCCGCGTGGGCGACCTGCGCTCCTCGCACATCGTGGAGGCCTCCATCCGCGCCAAGCTCATCCGCTCGCGCCAGACGCAGGAGGGCGAGTTCATCCCGCTGCATCAGACCGACCTGAGCGTGGGCTTCGACACGGGCGACGACCGCCTCTTCCTCGTCTCGCCGCTCGTCATCAGCCACGAGATCGACGCCGCCAGCCCCTTCTGGGACGCGTCGCGCCGCGCCCTGGAGAGGGACGACTTCGAGATCGTGGTGATCCTGGAGGGCATGGTGGAGGCCACGGGTGCGCGGGCAGGGGGCGGGGCGCGGGGGGTGCAGGGTGGGGAGGGGCGGTGCCCGGGAGGGGCGGGGCATATGAGAGCGGGGCCTGAGTGGGGCGGGGCCTAAGAGGGAGGGGAGGGGTCTAGGAGGGCGGGGCCTTGGAGGTGAGGGGCCTAAGAGGGCGGGGCGGGACACGAAAGGGGTGGGGCCTGAGATGGGCGGGGCCTTGGGGCGGGACTGGCCTAGGAGGGTGAGGAGGGGTTAAGCCGAGAGACTGGTGGAGGGTGAGAATAGGGTGAGAATAGGGGTCCCCGGTGGGAAAGGGCGTGTTAGCAGAGGGACCCCAACGAGAAGCCAGGGGAGGCTGGGAGAGATCCCCCAAGGGGCCCTGGCCGGGCCCGGGCGGAGAGGTGTGTCGCTGGGAATGGGGAGAGGACTAAGGTCGCCGCCACAGCCAAGGCTTCTCTGTCCTGCGGTGTCCACGCCTGACACCTCGAGTTTATTTAATCTTAACGCGCACCTCTCCAAGGCAACGTGCGGTGGTGCTAGTGCTTCAGAGGAGATTGCCCAACCAGAGGTTAGGCAGGTTGTCTGCAGCCGTTGGCGATGAAGTGGCCCCGCCCGGAGGGAGGCACTCGGGCTCTGTGTGAAGTAGTACAGGCTGGAAGAGCTGGGGTTCCCGGGCTTTGCCGTTCTGGAAGTCTCGCCCAGGCCCCTGGCATTGGGTGGTGAGGGTTTTTCCATGGCCTGAGTGAGGCGGGCCGAGGCTGGCCTTTAACAGGTGGTTGATACCTGGTCTCACGTCTGCCTCCGTTTCCCCATCCATCAAAAGGTTCTCAGCTTCCGCCGACAAAGGAAATAGATGCTCTTAGCGTTTCTGGTGGCTTCCCAGGAGGACCGGCTACGCCCCCGTTAGGTCAGTGCCTTAGCTCAGGCCTGCACAGCGGGGGCCCTGGAAGCAGGGAGGCCAAGGTCAGCGCGGGCAGCCGGTGAGGTCCTTGGGAACTTGAGGTTTCCGGGATAGGAGGCTTAGAGAACTGCAGGCAGATGACCAAAGGCCCAGGTGGTTCCCGCCACTGTCGTCAGAGCTTTTGCGCTCTGCTGGCTTCTCCCACAAAGACTAGACCGCAAGCATCTTCCGGGACCGTACAAAATGGTCCGCGAACAAAACTATGAAAGACGTGTTAACCAGTTGGATAAGACTTCTCCACTCTTATTCTCCTCCTACTAATCCTTGTCCCTCCTCCATCCTCCTCCTCCTTCTCATCTCCTCCTTCCTTCTACTCCTACTCCTATTCTCCGTGTCCTCCTCCACCATCCTCCTTTCTCCTCCTCCTCCTCCTCCTCCTCCCTCCTCCTCCTCCTCCTCTCTCCTCCCTCCTCCTCCTTCTTCTTCTTCTTCTTCTTCTTCTTCTTCTTCTTCTTCTTCTTCTTCTTCAAAATATATTTTATTGATTTTTAACAGAGAGGAAGAGAGAGGGATAGCTGCCTCCTGCACACCCCCCACCGGGGATGTGCCCACAACCAATGCACATGCCCTTGACCAGAATCGAACCTGAGACCCTTCAGTCCGCAGACCGGTGCTCTATCCACTGAGCCAAACCGGTATCAGTCCCCCTTTTCTTCTTAACCACCTAGCTCTCTCACTCCCCACTCCCCCCTCCCCCTTTTCTCTCTATCCCTCAGCTCTGTTTTGCCAGTACCTGAGGCAGCCCCTTCCCTTCCAAGGATGTTCCTGCCCATCCCTCTTCTCCCTGGGTGCCCCGCCCCTCCCTCTCTGCCTCTCAGCCCTCTGTCCCCAGGGCCCTTTGGCCTCTTCTCCTCCCTCACCAGATGCTTCCTCTCCCAGCCTTCATCAAGGGAAGGAAGGTGCAGTGACCCTGAAGGGCCTCCATGTGGAGCCTGCCCTGGTGAGAGCCAGGCTCTGGTTAGCTGGTGTTCACTCTGTCCCCCTTGTTCTGAGGTGGATTGGAGAGACCCTGGGGAGGAGAACCACTTGCCCTAGGCTGTGCCCACCCAGGAGGGAGGACAGGACACAGGCCCAGGGCCAGGAGGGGGGCAAAGGTGGGGGGAAGAGGGGAGAAGACAGGGATGGAGCTTGTGCGACTTCTAGAGCGACAAAACGAGAAAGGATGGTATTGGTTTGAGTGTGAGAGTCAGGATCAAAACGCTTTTGAAAAACAAGAATAATGAGCCAACATCCAACAAGATGACATTTAAAAGGAGTAAATATAAAAATCTACATTTAGACTTTAAAAAAAAAAATCACTTATGTAAGCACAGCATGGAAGCGCTCTGGTGAAAAAGAACCGGGGGTTTGCGTTGGCCACAGGCTTAATGTCAGAGCAACGTGCTGCAGCTTCCAACGCACTGATGCAATCGTGGGCCCTATTGGCTAGAGCCGCGGTCGGCAAACTCGTTAGTCAACAGAGCGGCAAACTGCGGCTCGCGAGCCGTACGTGGCTCAGGAGCCGAGGTGTGCCGACCACTGGGCTAGAGCATCGTGGCAGAAGAGAGTAGTGCTAAGCCCTCTCTTACGCAAGGATCAGGCCTCAGTTGGACTCCTTGTCAGAGTTCTCCTTGGCCCTTCTGGTTTACAGACAAGAAAGTAAAATTTCAGAAATCCAGGCCACATAAGCAATGGTGACAGGGATGTCAGCCTGAATCAGAGAAGATGAGACGGAACCTCTTTCAGACACTTGAAGGGTTGTCATTGGGCAGAGAAATGAAACCAAAGGGTGACAATCCGGGGAGGCAGATTTTAGCTCAACTGTTACATCCACCACAAAGAAGCGGGCACCTTGTGAGGTGGTGAGCTCTCAGTTCTGGTGGGTAACTGAGTACAAGCCAGAGGCCCACAATTGGGAATGCTCCAGTGGGAAGCCCTATATGGAGAGGGACGTTGGACTAGACGCAGTGGTCGGCAAACTCATTAATCAACAGAGCCAAATAGCAACAGTACAACAATTGAAATTTCTTTTGAGAGCCAGATTTTTAAAACGTAAACTTCTTCTAATGCCACTTCTTCAAAATAGATTCACCCAGGCCATGGTATTTTGTGGAAGAGCCATACTCAAGGGGCCAAAGAGACACATGTGGCTCGTGAGCCACAGTTTGCCGACCAGGAGACTAACATGACCCCCAAGGTCCAGGTTAAGGTCAAGCTTCTCTGGTTGGCATCTCCAGTGGAGAAGGAGGGAGAGAGCGGGTTGGCAATGAAGAGGGTTGTACAAATGTACGGGAGATGAGAGAACTGAGCAAGTTCAGGAATTGGGAGAGGGTGAAAAGTGGACTGGACCTAAAGGGGGGAGAGAGGGATATGAGGCAAGGTGCTGGGAATAAGGTAAAGGAGTGACAGGCAGGAGAGAGAAGCCCGGGGCTGGGATCCCCCTGACCCAGGCCCTTCCCCCCAGGAATGACATGCCAAGCTCGGAGCTCCTACCTGGTGGACGAGGTGCTGTGGGGCCACCGCTTCACATCCGTGCTGACCCTGGAGGACGGCTTCTACGAGGTGGACTATGCCAGCTTCCACGAGACTTTTGAGGTGCCCACACCCTCCTGCAGTGCCCGGGAGCTGGCCGAGGCAGAGGCCCGCCTCGATGCCCATCTCTACTGGTCTATACCCAGCCGGCTGGATGAGCGAGTGGAGGAAGAGGGGGCGAGGGAGGGGGCAGGTGAGGAGGCAGAGGGGGAGGCTGGGGCTGACAAGGGGAAGAAAGGCTGCCTGCCAACCCCAGAGAGCGAGTCTAAGGTGTGACCAGTTTTGCAGACCCCTGAGGCAGGATCAGACACAGGCACCGAAGGAGCTGGCTATGGGGGGTGGAGGAGTCCGGTGAGGAGCCTGGGAACATGCGAATGCTGGAGGGGCCCCTCAGAATCTCGAGTCCAGGATCCAGTGTGGAAGGAGGCATCCTGATAGCAAGAGAACAGAGGGCAGGGGTGAGTGAACTCACCGGCCTGTCGTGTTTGGCCTTCACATCTGCTCCTGGATGGATGGATGGATGGATGGATGGATGAACAGAAGGATGGACTTGTGTGGATTGGATGGGAAGATGGAAACGAACAGAGAGACAGCTAGTTGGTAGGTAAAAGGACCGGCAGACAGGTGGTACCCTCAGGGCTGCTGCTATCCCACTGAGCATCTTTGTACAAATTCTAAAAAATTCCTCCAGACAGACAGTACCCCAAACCAGGGTGAGTGGCCCGGGGCACAGAATGTGGGCTGGATTTTAGCCCCCACTCACCTCCTCGGCCTGCTTCCCTGTGCTTGGCACACCTGTCTCACCGGATCCAGCAGCCCGCTGCCCCCGGAGAGAAAGCTGGATGGAGGTGGGCAGAGGTGAGGAGGCTGTCCTCCCTCTGAGTGTGAGGACACTCACACTCATGACTGTGGCCCCATTCCCGGAGCTTCTGACGCAATCCGTCTGAGGTGGAGACCAAACATGTTTCTGCCTAGCAAGGTCCCAGGTCCCGCTGACACTGCTGGAATGGGGACCAGTGTGAGGGCTGGTGAAGACCTGGAGATGGGCAAACAAGCTGTCTCCCCCCTCCCCCTGTGGCAGGCTGCCTGGGGGGATGCGGGGCTGTAGGAGGGACTCAGCAGGTGAGAATGACTGTCTGTTGCACGGGGAAGCAAGCAGGGAGCTACCAGAGCTGGGGCCCTGGGAAAGGGGTGAAATTCCATATACACCTCAGGGGATGTATTGAAGTAGGAGAGCAAAGAGGGGTTCTGAGGAGGAAGAGGGCCAGGGAGAGATTGAGGGGAGTTCACTAGAGCTGGGACACGGGGGCCCTCGGGAAAGCAGAATTAGCGAGAAGGAGTCATTCATACCATTTGTTGGGTGTCCTTTGGGTATTGAACCCTGAACTGGGCACATGGCGATGGACAGTCAGAGACCCATTTCCTATCGCGGAATATGGCGCACCTGGGAAACACAGAGAACTGTTCCCATGGCAGCTGTGTCAAACTGAGATCCTGGGCAGTCTCTCTGGGCAGGGGCGGAAGGGTTTGGTAAACTGGAAGCTAAGGTTGAGCAAGCCCCGGAGGATGTCTAAGCATCAGCTGTAACACTTAGTGTGCATCAGAGTCACCTGAGGGCTTATGGACACCAACTGTGGCCCCATTCCAGGAGCTTCTGACTCAGTCCGTCTGAGGTGGAGACCACACATGTTCCTGCCTAGCAAGGTCCCAGGTCCCGCTGACACGGCTGGAATGGGGACCAGTGTGAGGGCTGGTGAAGACCTGGAGATGGGGCAGACAAGCTGAGGGGAAGCTGGGAGTGGAGACTGAGCTATAAGTGTGTGGGGAAGGGGGACCCTGAAACCCAGGCTGATGAGTTTAACTGGGCCCAGGAGGCCCCCGTCAGTGGAAATAGGGAGTGACAAGTAGAGCGATGTTTGGGAAGATGAGTAGGCAGTTCAGAAAGGAGGAGGCCGTATCAGCCCTGAGGGGATTCCTGGGGAGGAGGTGGGAGCTGCAGCAGGAAGTGGCCAAGGAGGGAACCCCCAGGCGGTGTCCTTACTTTGGCAGTAGCATCTTTGCTGCAAGCACTTTGGCTGCAAACATTTTCGCCACCTAACTGATTGGCTGTAAGGCACTTATGCCATTAAAAAGGAGATGAAAGGGCATAGAGGAAATGTGGTGATGGAAAAATAAAAGACTTGATTGCAACATACAAGGCATCTGAGTGCATTTTAAAAGTGCAGCCCATGACAGTGCTGCACAGGTCACCGATTTCTCGATCTCACGTTGAGGTTGTGTGTAACGACTCGTCTTAGTTCTGTGGGAATTGTGGGTCCCACTCTGCGCCTTCAAAGAGGGACCTTGGCTTCTCTTTCTCCCCACAAGGTGGTGTCTTTCAAAGTAAGAAACCAACTTTGGGGGCAATTGTCGTCATCTGGAAGAAATGCTAACTATTTTTTTAAAAAAATATACTTTCATGGATTTCAGAGAGAAAGAGGGAAGGAGAGAGAGAAACATCAATGATGAGAGAGAATCATTGATCAACTGCCTCCTGCATGGCCCCTACTGGGGATTGAACTCACAACTCAGGCATGTGCCCTTGACTAGAATTAACAGGAGACCTTTCAGTCTTGTAGGCCAACGCTCTCTCCACTGAGCCAAACCAGCTAGGGTTGAAATGCTAACTATTATAAGACCAGCATTCATCTACTCATCCGAGTAGATCACAATGAAAACTAGCTAAGGTTTATATGTAATTTGAAAATGGGAGTACTGCAAGAACTTTATGAATGGAGAAATGAAACCAGAATAACTACTACCTTAAATATATTACGTCTGCTGATGGTGATTGGTTTGTCAATGGAAAAATGAAAACAAACCAACAAATACAAAAATACCCCAAACTGTCAAACAGTTATTTTGTCCTTCTCACAGCAAAACTGGCCACTTAGTTACGCATTGAAAATGTTTTGGGCAAAAATGCTTGCAGCAACGATGCTACAACGAACACACCAGATACATCCTTCTATATCATGTAAAGGAGAAAATGTCAGAGAAGTGAGGCATCCAATGTCTGGCTGTGTCTGTGGCCTGCCTCTGCCCAGCTGGGAAGGGAGCCCTGCAGGGCCATTCCCATGCCACATCCACCCCCTTCCTGCATCATCCCATCTCCAAGGGCAGCCCCCCAGGATAGCGAGGGGAGAGCAATGGCAAGTGGAGAAGGAGCTCCCAGGACCGAGGCTGGCCTCCTGAGAGAACAGTGTGTGCCCAGCAGGCATGCTCTCCGACACTGGCCACACCCCTCTCCTGTCCTTGAAGGAAAGTCTGGGGGAAACACCAGTCTGCTCCAGTCCAGGCTGGGAAGCCGAGGTCCTGTGCCTCCTGGAAGCAGAAATGTGGGTCCCGGGTGTCCACACCAGTTCAGGTCTTACTCAGAAAGGATGTTGCAGGTCACAGGGCCACTGGAGTCAGCGTCCATCAAAGTGAGATCCTGGAACCCTAGCGCCAACTGAACAAATGTTGGGATGCAAGATGAAAAAGCTGGAGTCTGTACAGGAGGGGGTGGGTGGGCTGTGTACACACACACACACACACACACACACAGTAGTTAATCCATTGCGATTGAATGGGCAGACACTGGGGTGGGTGGATGACACTGAGACCCCGCCATACCTGCCCTCGCCCCTTGGCACCACTGGGTACAGTGCAAGGAGTCAGGAGACCTGGTACCACCACCTGACACTGGCACTGATTAGCTCTAGGACTCTGGGGAAGTCACCTCACTCTCTGAGCCTCAGTTTCCCCATCTGTAAAAGCAGCACTTAGCAAACCAGTCATGCTCAATAAATGCTTAAATAACTGAAGTGAGAGACTGAGAAAAAGTTATATACATATGTAATGATAAAAAAAAAATTGTAGACTGCCTCTTGCGGTGCAGTGTAGTAAGGATGCTAAGATTGAAGAGCCCTTAGGCAGAGGGTGAGGCAAGGCCTGGGGGTGCCTGAGGCTCTGGGGGTGGGGGGTGGGGGGGTACATGCAGGGGCTATGGATGCACAGGCCTCCCCTGGCTGCTGTGTACCCGCCGCCCGAGCAGTGCTGTGTTCTGGGGCTTCTTTATGGCTTCTGAGAGGGAGAGGGAGAGATAGAAACAGTGATGAGAGAATCATTGACCGGCTGCCTCCTGCACACCCCACACTGGGGATGGAGCCCGAAACCAGGGCATGTGCCCTGACCGGGGATCAACCAACCTCCTGGTTCATAGGTTGATGCTCAACCCCTGAGCGGCGCCAGCTGGGTCTGGGGCTTCGGTTCTGCTGCTGGCAGACAGAATGATGGAGATCCCAGGAAATCCGCTGAGGCCCCAGGGCCCGTGGGAGGGAGGAGTCAGGTCCAGGAGCAGCGGGTCCAGCGGGACCAGCGGGAGCGGCAGGAGGAAAGTGCAGGCGCTGCCGGGAGCCCAGCCGGGCACTGGCCCCTGGAAGCCTGTGCCCTACAACCCAGGAGAAGCTGGGAGAGGGGACTTTTTCATCTTGCATCCTGAGCAGGAGCCCCAATAGGAATTGGCAGCAGATGGGACCCAGGTGACTTTCCTGGGTGGGCAACACAGCCCACGGAGGCCAGATGGTGTCTGTGGTGGGAAGAGGCCTGGGTCACCCAGAACAGGTTGTCGGCCCCCAGCAGCCCCCTGCCACCCCAGCCTCTAAGGGCGCGATGCAGGGAAGACTCGCCACACCTGGATTTTATAAAACGAGTTTATTCACATCTTAGAAAAACGAGCGGGATGGGAAGGCCTCCCTGGAGGATGGTGTGAGAGATGGAACACGGAGCCAGCGGGAGGGATCAGGAGGAAATGGAGGCCAGGCCCCCCCTGAGAGTGGGGGCAGGTCAAATAAATTAAAGGAAGAGCAGCCAGAGAGAGAGGGTGTCCGGGTGACCAGAGGTGGGCTTGGAGCTGGGCTGGAAGACACTCAACACCTGTGACACCTGCAGAGACAGGGTGGAGTGAGCTAAGGGGGGCGCTGGGGGACTCCCTCCATCCTCACCCCCGGAGTACAGAGTCCTGCGGAGAACTGTGAGCTGGCTCCTTGGGGAGGAGGGAGGGGAGGCGAGGAGCAAGCAGCTTATAGGGCATGAGAAGGCAAGGCGGGTGCTTTCCCTCACCTGGGCCGGGGGGCAGGGCTCATCGTTTCCGCAGCCTCTTCATGAAGCAGCAGGTGATGGTGCTCAGGATGGCGGCGCCGGTGACGAGGGCCACGGCTGCCCCCACCAGCAGGGGCATGAGCAGGGTGTCCCGGGCTGGGGGAGAGAGAACGGCTCAGCCTGGGGGGCCGCTGCCCCCACGCTCTGTCTCCCTGAAGTCCCAGCACCTTCTTCACCAAGCTGTCTGCACCTCCTCCCCAGACAGACAGCGCCCCCAGCCCACTCCCTGCCCTCTATGCACTCATCCACCTCCACCACGGGGCCTGGGCAGATGGGCGCTGGGGGAATTGGTGCGGGGAGGAGGCGGGAGAGCAGTAGGAGGGTCAGGCGGGAAGCAGGGAAGAAGCGCCTGGGGCTGGAGGAAGGTGGTGAGGCGGGAGGGTGGGGTGGGGGGCACTCACCATGCAGGTAGGGGTAGACTGTGACAGGCCCCGACCGGGCGCTGCCCACCTGGTACCAGCTGTAGTCGGCGTGCTGCACCCAGGCGCTGGGCGTGCAGTGGTATATGCCTTCGTCCTCGGGCCCCAGGCTGTGCAGCCTCAGCCGGTGGCTCCGGGGCCCCACCAGCTCCACGCTGACGGGGCCTCCCCCGGGCCTGACCCCCAGCTTCGCCACGCCGTCCTGCCCCGTGCCGCCCACCAGCTGGGCGGGCGCGGAGCTCAGCCCGGGGCCCTCGGGCCGCTCCACCCACCAGCTGGTGGCCAGCCGCAGCCCCGCGGGGCCGCCCCGCACCGAGATGTTGCAGAGCAGCGAGGCCGTCTCCCCGCGGTACACGGCGCCTCCCGCCAGCCACGCCACCGCCTCCAGCACCACGCCTGCACACAGGGACCACGGCATCAGAGGGTCAGGGGGCAGGACTGCTGTCCAAGCAACACCCCGGGAAATTCAAGGGCCCCGCCCCCCCCTCCACCCCGACCTCAGAAGAGGAGTGTGAGACGAAGGCAGGGAGGCAGTGAGGAAGGGAGAGGCATGGATGGGAACGGGAGGGAAAGGGATCTGCACGCCCGGCTCGCCCCTCACCTTCCTCCCGCACGTGCACGGGGAGGGGCCGGGAGCGGGCGCTGGCCGCTTCGCGCAGCCGGACCCCGGACCCTCGCACGTAGGCCTTGGCGAGGCAGCGGTAGGTGCCCGAGTCGCCGGGCTGGGCGGCCTCCATGCGTAGCCGGTAGGTTCTGGACGCCACCTTCTCCATGGCGATGTGCCGGCCCTCGTAGCCGGAGCCCAGACTGCCCACACCCTCCGTGTCCAACTGGGCTACCAGGCGGCCAGGCCCGGGCGCCCCTGCGGGGGCCATCTCCCAGCCCACGGAGTAGGTGGCGTGGTGGCCCGGTGTGGGCAGCGCCCCGGACACGTTGCACAGCAGTTCCAAGGGCTCCCCGGGGCCGATGCGGCGCTCCCCGGGCCCCACGGCCACCGCCAGCTGGCTGGCTGAAACAGCGCGGGGGAGAGGCGTCACGGGGGCAGGAGGGGGCGCGGGGCACCGGACGCCCCAACTGCCGTTCCCGGGACGGCAGCCACTCGGAGGCCGCCCATCTGACCCTCCCGGAGTGTGCCGTCTCCCCGCCCCGGGGCCTGGCCCGCCCCTCAGCCACAGCCCTCCCGGCTCCGCCCCAGCGCCGAGCATGGGAGAGCCATCCCGGGCACGGAGGCGGCGATGCCCGCAGCACTGCTCACTCCGGGGAAGGTGGGCTCCCTGGCCAGGCGAGGGCCGGCGAGGGTCCCAGGGCCCGTGGAGCCGGCCCCTCACTCACACAGCGTCTGCACGTCCACGTGGGCCAGCACGGCCCTCTTCTCCGCGATCTGGGCCCAGCTGCCGTCGGGGTCCTGGATCCACTCGGCGGCGGTGCAGTGGTAGGTGCCGGCGTCCTCGGCCTGGGCTCCCCCCAGCACCATGCGGTACCGCTCGGCGCCCTCCTTGGCCAGCCGCAGCTCCCCGGCCGCCAGCCGCTGGGCGTAGGGGGCGCCGGCCTCCACAGCCAGGTCCGGCCGGAGCCCCACCACCTCCTGCAGCGTCGCCCGCCCCACGGGGGCCTCGGGCAGCGCGCGGCCAAAGGACACGGCCAGGTGCGTGTGCTGCTGCGTGCTGGTCCGCGCCAGGCAGCCCAGGGCCAGCTCCTGGCCCTCGTGCACCGTCAGGCGGGAGGGGGAGGGGGGCATCTGCCGGCCCCGGGGCCCGAGGGAGGCGGCGGACACCTGCAGCACATCTGGAAGAACTGGAGAGCACAGCTGGTGTGAGGGAGGGCCGGGCCGGCAGCCCGCGGCACTGTTCCCACCTGCAGCCCGTCTGGACCGCGAGCCCCCGGAGGGCGGGGATCCGTTTCCCGGTGTCACGTTTCCTCTGTAGCTCAGCGGTGCCAAGTACAGTGCCGGGCACACAGCAGGCGCTCAATAAACACCCGCTGAGGGTCAGAACCAGCTCACCCTTCTGTGTGGGGCTGACCCCTGCTTGAAACACTCAGAAAAGTGGCTCTGTCTTCCCTCTCCCAAGACAAAGAGTCTTATAGCGCGGGACTGTCACGTGGCCTCACTCCTCCTACCCCACCTCCTCCAGATCGGGGATCTAGAGGCCCCTGGACCGGAGCAGATTCAGACGGACAGGGAACGGGGAGGGTGTCAGACACTCCAGATGCTTCCCCAGACCCAGGAGGCAGCGCAATGGCGGGAGAGCAGTGGGCTGGGAGGGCGGCCGCCGGCCCGCCCACCCGGCAGGTTGGGTGATTCTGTGCGAGTCACCTGACCTCTTTGGCCCTCAGGCTCCTCGGCTGCACAGCCTAAGGGAAGATTCGATAAGCTCCTCCCGGGCCCTGACTTTATGCCCCTCCCCGCCCCCCACCTCCCCAGGGCCCAGTACCTCTCAGCTCCACCTTGCCGCTGTAGCTGCCCAGGAAGCGGGCGTCGGTGGACGGGGTGTAGCACTCGTACACGCCGGCGTCCTGGGCCTGCAGGCGCGCGATGGTGAGCACCGCGGCGTCGCCCCGCACCCGCTGCACCCGCACCTCGCCGGCCGCCACCCGGGGCCTGAAGACCGCGTAGGAGAAGCCGGGGTCCCGGGTGCTGACGATGCCCACGGAAGCATCGGGGTTCTCGGGCCTGTACAGGAACCACTCAAAGTCCTGCTGGGAGGGGCCCTCGTAGTCGGTGACGTTGCAGGAGATGGAGACGGCCGTGCCAGCCACGCGGTACAGCGGCCCCTGGGGGACCAGCACCTGCCGGGCGCAGCACCCGACTCCTGCGGGGAAGAAGGAGGGAAGTTGGGAATGCCTGGATCCCCAGGCACCTCCTCCCCTCCCTCCTGCCCCCACTGCCAGCACCATTCCCTGCCCGGCCCCCGGAAGGAAGGGGCACGTGGGGAAAGGGGTAAGCCGTGTGGGCCGTGTGCGAGGACAGGGAAAGAATGCTGAGGACGGGGAAAGAATGCTGAGGACGGGGAAAGAAGACACCTGGGTCGCAAGGAACTGATGACACGGCCAGGCCTGTCTCAGAACCCAGGAATGCCCGTTTCTGGGAGGCAGAATGGAGAACATCTGCCCCCCACCTCCCACACCGTCTTAACACTTCCTGATTCCAGCCCCACCTGGACCCCCCACCCCCCCCTCACTCTCCCGTCTGGGGCTCCTGCTTCGGCCCGGTCAGCAGAGCCCCTAGCCAAGAGGTGCTGAGACCACATGCCCCCGCTTAGTCTGAGAGAAGCTGGTTGGCTCAGCTCTGTCACCTGGGCCAGGGGGCGCCGGACAATGGAGCCAGTGGCCCAAGCCCGTCAGGGCACAGACCCAGCCGTCTCTCACCACACAATGCCCGCTCCCCGCCCTCCCCCCCCAGCTGTGCCATGAGCTCACTGCTCCCCCACCTCCCCCACCAGGGCTGCAGCTGAGAGTGATGGGGCAAGGGCCAGCTTCTGCCCTGCCTCTGGGGACAGGAGTTCCCCGCCCCCACCCCAGCGCCTGCCAATCTCAGAGGCTGGTCCAGCTGATGCACAGTGCCTCCGCCACCCCATCTCCCCAACAAAAGCTTGCATTTGCATACGATATGCATTCATTTATCATATATATGGCTCCCTTTCCACAGAGAGACAGGAAATCCCAGCTGCCCCTTCCCACTTTTCTCTCCTGGGAGAGGCCAAAACGTTCTTTTTATTTTTATTCATTGATTTTAGAGAGAAAGGAAGGGGGAGAGGTAGAGACACACACAGAGAGAGAAACAGCGATCTGCTTTCCGGCCTATTACTGCACTCGTTTGGTTGATTCCTGTCTGTGCCCTGAGCAGGGACAGAACCCATACCCTTGGCTTATCGGGACCACACTCGAACCAACTGAGCCACCCTACCCCTACCCCCCGGCCCCAGCAGATACTCCTGGGGTTGGAGGGCTCAGCTTGCTCCTCCTTTCCTTCCGTCCCAGCCCCAAAGGTAAGATCGCGGGACGCCAGCAGGTAAGGAGGCTGGGGCAGACCCAGGAGAAAGGCAGGGCAGGAGTCTTGGCGGAGACCCACGGTCCCTGGATGGGGTCCACCTGTCCCCGCAGAGGAACGAAGCCAGAGAGGAGGATGGGGAGCTCCAGGCAGGCGAGGCCAAAGGGGCGGCCTCACCAGACCTCACCAGCCAGACGGCCCCTCCCAGGGGCATCCCCACGGCCGCTGGCCTGTCTGCAGGGCAGGGGCTGAGTCCCCGTCAAACTCCGTCCTCAGGCTCCTCCCAAAGCACTCCCCCCACCCGCACAGCACAGGCACTTCCCCTCCCGCGGCCCGGCCACCAGGAGAGCTGTGGTCGCGCTAAGCCTGGGGAGCAGACTGGAACTCAGCCCATTCCTGGCCCCAGCTCTATGGCCTGGGCTTGTCCCCTCATCTCCCAGGCCTCAGTTTCCACACGAGGGAGAGCTAGCAGTTTCGGCTCTGACAGTGCGACTCAGGAGGGCCCGGCCTGGGGTGCTTCACATCGGGGTACAGGCAAAGAGGAGGGGGCTGACACCTTCCCTGGCGTCCACCAGTCCCAGCCTCCACCCCCCATGGCCTCCAGGCAGACTCTGCTCAGAAGGGCCCCTCCCACCTTCCTGGCTCCACACCGCTGATGCTGGAGATCCCCGTGGGAAACACCCCCAGCCCTAGGGAGCCAGCCCCCAGGCAGGTCTCTCCCCAGCCAGGGTTCCTTCTCTGTGCTAGCAGAGAGGGGAGAGAGTAGAGACTTGTTTGGCAGTCAGACAGACCCAGGTTCCAATCTCAGACCCAGCACTCACTAGATGTGTTCTCTGGGCAAGCCACTCCATTTCCCTCGTCTTCCAGAGCCTGCAAGAGCCTGGCAGGCTCCTTCCTCTCTGTGCATCCCAACGCACCTCCCCAGCGCCTCCCGCTCCACTCTGCCCACTGGGGAAAATGGGCCAAGCGCTAGGCAACGGGCCCGGTGACAGCTCCTGCCTCCCACCCAGGGCTCGTCCTATTCCCGCGGGCCCAGGAGCCAGGCAGGAGAGCGAGGCTGCGCGGTGCCTCTGTGGACCAGCGGTGCCATCAGCCTGCGCCTGGACCGTGGCAGCTCCGAATCCTGGCGGCAAGACTCTCGCCACCGCCACCTTCACCCTCACTCTCACCCTCACCCCCACCCTCACCCTCACCCTCACCTCCACCCTCACCGTCATCCCCCACACTGCTCTCTTATTTCAGGGGCTTCAGTCCCCTGAAGTCTCCACACAGACAGACAGTCTCCCTGTCCTGATGCCATACTCCTCCAGGGATCATCTACGGCAGCGGTTCTCAACCTGTGGGGGTCGACCGACCCTTTCCCAGGGGTCGCCTGAGACCATCGGAAAACACAGATATTTACGTTACGATTCATTAACAGTAGCAAAATCACAGTTATGACATAGCAACGAAAATAATCTTATGGCTGGGGGTCACCACACCATGAGGAGTTGTATTCAAGGGTCGCGGCATCAGGAAGGTGGGGAACCACTGCCCTACAGGGAGCCCTCAGTTCATGTCCAAAACACCCCGGCACCCCGCCACAGACACCCCCCAGACAGACACAGGGTGCCTGTAGGTCCCTGCACCGGTCTCCATGGAGCCTGGCTCCTCCTGGGGCAGGAAGCTGGGGCTCCCTGCGTGTGACCACAGCGGGAGGCCACAGAGCCTGTCCTCCGGGAGGGGCAGGGGGGCGAAGAGGGGCCCTGCCCAGGCTGGAGGGGAGGGAGCTCCGCCCAACCTCCGAGGGCAATTAGGGAAGACTCACTTCAAAGATCAGGGCAGGGCGGCCTTGGGCCTGCAGCCACGCAGGGGCAATTACGAAGACAGACCGGCAGGCACTGCCCACGCACAGCGGGCACCCGGGCTGGGCCCGAGCGGAATGGGGGGCGGAGAGGAGGAGGAGGCGGCCCAGCATTTAGGATCTGAGTATCCCGGGCGGTCTGGGGGCGCCCCTGACGAAGAAGCGGGATGCAAGGGGCTCCAAAATACTGGGGAGGCTGCGGGGCAGGGCGCCAGGGGCAGGCACCTGCCGAGCGAGCGGGGCTGGGGCCGGGGCAGGGGCCGGGCTTACCCAGCATCAGCAGCAGCAGCGGGGGCAGCGGCGTGGAGCCCGGGGCGCCCATCCTGCGCGGCCGGCTCTCGGGGGTTCCGGGGGGCGGCGTGAGCTCTGGGCGGCCAGGAGCTCAGGGGGCGCATGCCCGCCGGGCTGGGGGCGCAGAGCGGAGCCGCGGAGCGAGGTGCTCGGAGCAGACTGCGCGGAGAGGGCGCCGCTAAGTCCCCTCCTCCCTCCTTCCTCCTCCCCCCGCACCCCTCTCCCCGCCGGCCCCTCCTCCTCCTCGGAGGCTCGGGAAGCCGTTCCCGCCCAGCCCGGCCCCGGCCCGCCCCCGGCCCGGCCCCAGGCTCCCGCCTCCCGGCCTCGCTCTCCTCTCCCGCCCCTCCACCCCCACCCGCAGGCCCCGCTTCGTCCCCTCCGGACCTGGCTGCGCCCGGACCCCAGATCTGGGACCTGGGCTCCGTTCGGGGCTCCGCGAGGGACAGGGTCCTGAACCCCGACCTCAGCGCCGCCTTGACCCCGGCTCTGGCCCCGCCCACTCCGGTCTGAGCCCAGGCCACGCCCACCGCGGCCTTTGTCCCGCCCCCAGCCCCCTCGGCCACCGGGCCCAGCCCCGCCCCCGCCCCCAGCCCCAGCCGTGCGGGCGCGCGCTGGCGACCCGAGCTCCGCCGAACCCCATCGTCCCTGCAACAAACCCAGAGGCCTCCGGCCCGCACCTGCCAGCCTTGCCTGGCGAGCGGGGTGCAGGCGCCCCGGGGTGGGTGGGGTGACTGGCCACGCGCTCGGATCCGGTTGTTTGCTCTGGGCCGCTAGGCCAGGCCTGGCCGTAAACCCGGCTGAGCGGACAGGGCGGAACTGGGAGAGTGGGGGGGATCCGGAAGCAAAGGGATCCGGGCCGAAGGGCGCTGTAGACCAGTTTGCCAGCCCCGGGATGGCATGGGGAGGGGGGAAGGGCGGGCGCCTTCACTTCCTGGTGACCCTGGTCTAGTTGCTTAGCCTCCTTTTATCCCAGTTTTTCTTGTTGGCAAATTGGCATTCCCCTCCCCTCCAAAGTGTGTTTGTGACTATTAATTGGAATAACCTATATAAGGTGCTTGGCCCATAACAAGGTGTTTTTGAATTATGATTTAAATTGCTTGCGAAGCCTTGGCTCGCTGGATAGAGCATTCGCCTGCAGACTGAAAGGTCCCAGGTTCCATGGGGTCAAGGGCATGTTACCCAGTAGGGGGTGTGCAGGAGGCAGCTGATCGATGTTTCTCTCTCATCGATGTTTCTAATTATCTCCCTTCCTCTGTAAAAAATCAATAAAATAATTTTTTAAAAAACTGCTTGCTAAGAGGTTTAATCTAGACTTAAGGGAAGGGTGAGCCTGGGGTTTGGGTGAAGGAGTCTTGGTTTCCAATGAGGAGATGGGTTTCACTCTGCGCTGGGAAGGGCCGGGCCTGCCCTGTCGGTGGGAGAATGGAAGAAGACCCTTTCCTAGGAAAGGTGGGGAGGGGCAGGGAGGGTGGGGACAGAATGGGAGAAGAAAAGCCAGACCTGCAAAGTCAAGGCTGTGGGAGGTGACCCCAGCTCATCTAGCATCTTCACTCTAACCCCCTAGCTGCCCCACACTCCCCCACCCCCTGTGAAGGAGGAAACAAACCCCAAGAGGGGAAGTGTCATTGGCCAGACCAGACCTTCCTGGACTTCCTAGTCCCAAGCCTAGTACAGTGCCTGGCTCAGGAGGTGCCCAGCTGATGCCACATTCAGAGACAAATCAGAGAAACTGAGGCAGGATGCTGGAAACCCCCGGGGGGGGGGGGGAGGTGTCTCAGAGGTCCAGCCCTCCTCTCCCAATGCTTCCTGGACAGGAGCAGGGTGCAGGGTCCCCATTTTCTCCCACTCGGACACATGCACAGCCTGGTCTCCCCAGAACCATTTCACAGAAATCCAGGCACAGGCCCAGCTGAGCTCTGTGAAAACGAAAAGATACAGGAAGTGCTGGGAGGCAAACCACTTCCTTTATTCCGGAGTGAAGTGGCTTGAATGCCTTGCTCATGCTTGAGAGATGTTGCCAGCCCTCCTCCTCCTCCTGAAACCCAGGGTCCTTATGACTTTGATTAAATTTAGCTTCTTAAAACACCACGGGACGCGGGACAAATTGTTAAAAATCGGGACTGTCCCTTCAAAAGCGGGACGTCTGGTCACTTTACTTTAAATCCTAGCTCTAGAATTCATCTACCCTGTTTCCTCAAAAATAAGACAGTGTCTTATATTAATTTTTGCTCCCAAAGATGCGCTAGGTCTTATTTTCAGGGGATGTCTTATTTTTCCATGAAGAAGAATATGGTACACATTTATTGTTAAATGAAAATAAAGGAAATTTATTACCTGTATACGGTGTGGTAGTATGGTAGTTGTCAACACAAACCAGACAAACTGTGAATCCTACAGTATCAAGAATTTACTCATTTATTCAATGACAATCATGTCATCATCTTCTGGAACATCATCCTAACAATCCAATTCCTGAATTTCCTGGTGAATTTCTTGTGACTCCATTTCTTTCAGAATCAGTGGACCAAATCTCTCATGTTTAGCCTAGGGGGGGGCCTTATTTTCAGGGGGATGCCTTATGTTTCACTCAGAAGGAAACCTGTAAGTAGGTCTTATATTCGGAGGATGTCTTATTTTCGGGGAAACACGGTATCTATCTAAGGTCTGGTCACCTTACTTAAAATCCTAGCTCTAGAATTCATCTATCTATTCATCACACATCTATTCATCTATAATCTCTATTCGCCTGGCTCTCTCAGATCCCTGGGAGAGAGCTAGGCGGCCCTCACCCCGCCCCAATAATCAGCAACCCCACCCACCCCACCCCCAGGCAGCGGGAGATAGTATCCCAGAACTGACAGATGATCACAAGGTCTGGGCCTCCGCAGGCTGAAGATACCATCTGGACTAGAAGGTGAGTTTTGGCCTCTGAGCCCTAAAGGGATGACTCCTCGGCTACTTTCCCACGAAACCAGACAAAGGGACTTCCGCCCTCAGGACTGTTCTGAAACCCCCCCCCCCCAAATTATTTATTATCCTTATCTAGCCTCTGATCAAGCTCCCAGCACTACACTGAACCCCTAACCCATGGTGTCTTGTGATTTTGCCCTATGTCAGTGGTCGGCAAACTGCGGCTCGAGAGCCACATGCGGCTCTTTGGCCCCTTGAGTGTGGCTCTTCCACAAGATACCACGTGCGGGTATGCACGTACAGTGTGATCGAAACATCGTGGCCCATGCGCAGAAGTCGGTTTTCGGCTCTCAAAAGAAATGTCAGTCGTTGTCCTGTTGATATTTGGCTCTGGTGACTAATGAGTTTGCCGACCACTGGCCCTATAGCATCTGTAACCTACACACCACCAGGCAGTTTGGGCTTGTGAGTGTTAGCCTCCAGTTCTCCTGGGTGGCATTGTTATGCCCAGATTTTGTGATCCCCAAAAACCACCAAGGAGCCGAGTCTGATGCAAAAGCAAAAGAGCCATTTATTCAGGGCTAGCCCGAGCTCTGTCCCACTTACACAGACAGAGGTGTGGCAGAAGAGAGCAAGCTTCAACAGATCAAAGGGTTTTATAGGGATCTGGGGGAGGGGTGGTGATGTCACTGCTTTGGCTGACCCCGATTGGTTGGGTGAGGGCTAGGGTCCAGTTATACAATGACATACAAAATGGAGGATCAGGAGTTAGCCCTGCCCTGCTCTCTCAGCACCATTCACAGTAAAAACACTTAGCCAATATTTGCCCACTGCCGTTCTCGGTGTTCTGTGTTTGGCCTTGCTAGCACCAGGTAGATGGACTCTGTTCCATAACACTCATCATAGATTCCATTCACCGGAGGCCATTCACCATAGGCCCTTTTGGATATGTCAATGTAAGAAATGTCGCCAATGTTTTTTGAAGAAATTGTAGAGAATTTTTATGAGTTTATTTGAGCCAAACTGTGGACTATTGCTGGGAAGCAGAATCTCTATGTTTTGAGCTAATGCCCCGGAGGATGGCGGGTTTTTACCTAGTTTTATAAATTACCATTAAAGGAGACTCGAGTGAGTTACACAAAATCCGTTGGTGATAGATTAGAGAGGTGGGAGAAAGTAAAGTGGGGAAAACTCAGGGATTGGATAAAGAAGTAAAATGATAGACACATACTTATTGTACATAGGTGGGGACAGGATAGTTAACAGTCAGCAATTAGCACGATAACAACAATGAGGACTCTGTGGCTTTGCGCCCTGGTGCATTGGTTGTGTCCTGATACACGTTACCCAGACATTCCAAAGGTATGTTATCATAGATGCAAGAAGACAATAGCCTCAGTTAGGTTCAAAGTTGGTCTTTGTCAAGGAAGCTACAGGCCTAGGAAGGCACTACCCACCTTGACCCGAGTTTAGCTAGGGATTGTTATGCCCAGACCATCCTATGTGGTCACTCTTTTTTTTTTTTAATTTCTTTATTGATTAAGGTATCACATATTTGTCCTCAACCCCCCCATTCCAATCCTCCACCCCTCCCCACTCATGCCCCCAACCCCTATTGTCCTTGACCTTATGTGGTCACTCTTGGTCCCTGAGTTCGTAGGGCCTGCCATGCTGGCCTCCCCTGAGCTTGTCAGGTTTAGCACATGGCTCTTTTTTTCATCACAGATATTCCTTCTGGTCTTTATAGCATATTCACCAGTTTATATCATTTAACAGATCAGAAGCAAAGGCCGCACAGCTTTTAAAGTGACCAAGGTATTGTAACCGACGCCCAAGTTCTGCTGCCTGCCACCACGCAAAAACGAACTCGTGAGACAAATACCGGTGAAAGGGAACGTGGTTTCATCCAAGTGCTGGTCACCTGAGGAAACGGGGGCCACTTGTCACAAAGCCCATCTCCCCCCCTCAGTGAAGGCAGGGGTGCTGGTAAGGAGGAAGAGGCAAAGTAACAATGAGCTCAAGGAGAGTCCATCCCGATAAAGATCTTGAAGAGTTCTCAGCACAGTCCATCCTGATAAAGATCTTGAAACTGGTCATGGGTGTGTGTGTCATCCTGGTTCTTCCTCAACCTGGTTCTACATGTGAAGGTCAGCAACTCTCCCGGAAGTGGGGTGACTGGAGGCCAGAGTCTGTATCTGCTGGAGTTAGTTCCTAGATTCTAATACAAACACTAGAGGCCCGATGCACAAATTCTTGCAAGGGTGGGATCCAGATGGC